TTTACAGATATCGAGCCAACTGACTGCTTTGACTGGAGCGACACGAAGGTCCACTGGTATGGAGGCGGACAGTCACTAAACCTGACCTGGCCGGTCAACACTGGCCTCATTGACTTCACGCCCTTCATCACTGGTGATATACAGAAATCACAATGGAGTAATGTTTTGACTCGCTACTTTATAAACTCTAAAGGAGCGGCTTTGATCATTGATGAAGAAACGCCTCTGCACATCGCCATTAACAATGGAAGGAAAGAGATTTGTCTCAAAGCTAAATATGATGATTTTGCATTCGTAAATAAAGTTACAGAATTTCCAGAACTACGATACAATATATGCACATCCAAAGATATGAAATCTCTTCATTCCTCTATACATAGCCATAGAAGGGCACCCTTGTGGGACGGCTTGAAACCTAAGGACATGCAGACTTTGGAATCTTTAATATCAGAACCCGTTTGGCAAATCGCACCGAGATTCAAACACGAATTAAACGCAGAAACAATCTCGAAATACACCGAGGACGTAATTAACTTGGGTTTTCTAAAACAAGGTCACGTGTTAATCAACGAATTCTGGCAAAACGAAATCGGTGATTTCACCGTCGATAAATCTCGCTTCGAAACACTGAATGTAACAGTCGATAAGTTGCATAGAAGAGGATTCAAAGTGACATTTACGGTTCAGCCCTTTGTAAGCACGGAGAGTAAGAATTTTGCCGAGACTGTACAAAAAAGATTGCTCGTTAACGAAAGAAATGGTGATCGTCGAATTCCCGCACTGACGAGATTCAAGTCCTCCCCCAGCGCCGGCGTCATCGACATCACCAACAACCGATCTGTTCCTTGGATACTTGACAAGCTGCAGGCGGTCATCGACGAATACTTCATAGATTCATTCTATTTTGATTTAGGCACCGCTTACGATATGCCGCATTACTACCAATGCGAGAAGCGATTGATAAACCCTGATCAATACAAGACAATATTTACAAAGACGTTTGAAAAGTCTTTGGATATAATAGGTGTGTCCTCCGCGGTAACTCTACCAAGGCCACCGATATTTGTGTCCTTGCCTCCGTTTGAATCGACTTGGCAGGCGCTGAGGCAAGTTATACCGACGATGTTGACGTACGGAGTGAACGGGTATCCATTTATAATGCCGGGGGCGGTGGGCGGGGACATCTACTGGCCTGGCAGCGAGCAGTTCCTACCATCATCGAAAGGATTAATGGAATCTAACGCAGCGAATTCGACGCAAGAGAACGGAATAGATTTACCTGAAAGGGAGTTATACATGAGATGGCTGCAGATGGCAACATTCTTGCCGGTGATGAAATTTACTCATTTACCGAGTAAATATAACGATGAAAGAGTGTTAGAAATGGCGAAGAATTTAACTTTATTGAGGCAAAAACTGGTATGTATTCTTTATGTTATTTTAAATTGTTATGTGAGTGAGATTTTATTGTGTACTAGCTGCTGCTATGAATAATTCTCCCTTACTCTTATTGTTTGTGTTCGCGATATCTTCTAAACTATTAGTCCAATTTAAGCACTGTAAAGGACAATTTTATTCTAAATTAAATTCTACTGACAACAATCGCATTTATTTGGATAAGGATTAATGCCGCCTTAAAAAAACGCTGCAAATAGTCTGCAGTTTTTAATTTAATTTTTAAACAAAAAAGTGGTTATTATAAGACTACTGTTAAAGACAGATATATGTTATCGCGGACTTTTCTGTAGAACTTTTTGAGGTCTACAATTCTTTCATTCATCATTTTTATATATCTCTAACGGTTAAAGCAGCATAAGCCGAGAGAAATTAAAATATTGTGATTTTTTAACTCCGTATTCGAGAAATATGTTGTCTTTTAATAGTTTCTTAACATCAGTAATAATAAAGTATAGCCTATGTTACTCACAGATAAATTTTCTTTCTAATGGTGAAAGAATTTTCCAAATCGGCCGAGTAGTTTTTGAGTTATTTTAATACATACAAAAATACAAATATTTCCCCTTTACAATTAGTTTTAGCATTCGCCCGTGACTCTGTCTACGTGGTATTGAAAAAAACAAAAGTGAATAGCATATGTGTTCTTCCAGACTATCTTCTATATCTATACCAAATTTCATCGAGATTTGTGCAGCCGTTAAGCCATAAACTCTAACAAACATCCAT